TTTCAACTCCGTCTGTATTTTCCTACATCTCCACTGCATCTTAGCTCAAGCTATTATCTTGTGATATCATACTGTTATGAATCATAGCAGTCATGTAACATTTCTCCCCATCTTTCCTCTGTTCTCTTGAAACTAATCAATCTCCACGCTGCAACCAACAGGGCTTTAAAAGATTATTCTTATTTCTCCATTGTTTAGACCCTTTGATGGCTTCCTGTTTTCTTATGACCCAAGTCCTTAATATGGCTTAAAAACCATCTGTATAAACTGGCCTCTTAGACTTAGCTCCTGCTACTTACTCCTTACTTATTCACCATTGTACACTGCGTGGCTCCCCCCAGTGATTCAGAATGAGCTGTGCTAGTGCCCAACCCAGGCTTTATACAGGTTGTTTGTTCCCTTTACCTGGGATATCCATACTCCTGTCATGTCCCAAACCCTGGGCTCAGTTCCCATGGATAATTTCACACCAACCTAGACTCTGTTCCTAATATTTACCACAACTGGAATACACCACTTGTGTGTAGTTACTCCACATTTGTCTCTGGCTTGAGTGTAAGGGAGGAAGCCATGTCTCCCACTAGTTACCAGAACCGGCCTCAGTGCCATGCACACAGCAATAATTTAACATTTAACACCAATTAAGTTACAGTGCTGGAACCACGTATTATTCTAAGCTCTTCATTTTTAATAACTCATTTAATCCATATAACTATTCTGTTGGTGGGACAAAATGCCTGATATACATGACTTAAGGAGGAAATGGCTTATTTGGCTCATGGTTTCAGAGGTTTTGGTCCATGGTCAACTGGCTCCAAAGCTGAAAGATCATGGTGGAAAGTCATGGAGGAGCAAAGCTCCTCACTTCATGGTAGCTGTGAGGAGGGCACGGGGGAAGAGTATCAGTGAAGGATACTCCCTCCAAAGGTGCACCTTCTGTGACGACCTCCACCTGCACATTCGCATTCGAACTCCTAACAGCACATTCAGTGGTGAAATCACTGGATTAATCCCAGTCATCTCTCCAGGACTCCATCTTGTTACATTGACAAGGTTAACTTAGCACACAAACCTAGGATATAGGCATTATTATTATTAACCTTATTTTATAGACTAAAACAGGTACAGTGAGATAAAGTTGCTAAAATATACAATGGAAATCAGGACTTGGATCCAGAAGTTCAGATCTAAAGTCTGCATGTACTCTATTCTTTGTTGCTACCTCAATTTTATGTCCATTTAACTGTTCACTGAATTGCATTACTCAGAGAATTGCTCATAAGCATATTCATAATTATAGTGCACATTTATAGCAAAGCTTAACTTGTTTAACTATGGAGCAGGCAGGCACACTTTTATACCATTTGAAACCCACAAATAATCTGTCCAAAGATGAATACTATTAGTGATTTGATCAAGTTGAAATAATAGTCAAGGCCTTCATACCAGTTACATTCATGAAAATTTACTAGAGAAATTATATATTCTATATATTCCAGAGCCATTTTATCAATTTAAAAAGGAGAAAACAGAATGAACTTTAGCCCCCTTGTTTTAATATTCCTAACTGCTAAACAATAGGTGTGAACTATTTCAAATTGTTCCTTGAAGCCATGTACGGTGGCGCATGCCTGTAATGCCAGAACTCAGGAGGCTGAGGCAGGAGAATCACTGTGAGTTCGAGGTCAGCCTGGGCTACAAATTGAGTTCAAGGCTAGCCTAAACTACAAAATGAGACCTGTCTAAAAAAAAAAAAAAAAAAAAAAAAATCTTGCTTTGATCACTGTGGGCTGTCATTTTATCATGGTTTTGGGAAGAAAGGCTTTCTGCAAAAACACAAGAAAGTCAGGCAATCCTCATCCCCAGTGTAGCTCTATTACTGCCATGAAATGCTCTCTTGTTTTCATTTCCACATTTAACAACAAAAGCAACACTTGCCAACTTTGGGAAAATTGTTCTGAGTAGCATGTGATGACATTTGTATTTTTACTGCTAAAAAATGGTACTAATAAATACCAATGCACCAAATGTTAGTGGACTATCTGGTAAGGGTTAGATGATTCAGGACTTTGAGTCATTATTAATGTAATTCCCCCAAATAGTAATAAGGGGATTAATCCCGATGTTTCATGTATTTTTAGAATACCAGCTATTTATATTCTCATAGATCTTAAGATTATACTTATTTTTGTAGCAATATTGGGAAAAACAGTTGATTGCAATGGTAAGTGGTTTAAAGGGGCAGGGTTTCTTCAAGATACAGGATAGAACCTGGAATTTATCCAACCAGGCTTCCCATTAAACCCATGAGGAACAGACTATTCAGGGGAGTGCCCAACTTCCTCTGTGCGCTGTCCTAATTGGCTGTTTGCAAACTGCGGGTCCTCAAATGCTTTTTGGTAAGGAGGTATGTATCCAGCAGAGCATGGGCCAGTTTAATCAAGGTTAGCTCGCCCATGAGAAGAGAGACTTCAGTAGGCAAAAGGTCGTGTGAAGTTTGTGATGACTTTTTGGGTTGTCAATTCACAACTAAACATATGTGGGACACCATCCTGTGGATCATCAACCACAGCCTTTAAAAAACATCAACTCTCCTGTTAATAAGCACAGTTTTTGTATTCTTTAATGAGTTTAACATTTCAAAATAAATTTTGTGAATAAAAGGAATTCCAAGTGAAGGTAAATGTAGAACATGCTTTTCAAACGGTGTCGATAGTCCCATTTTTCCAACCTCTTCGTGGCTGATGACATTGTTGAGTGGCACAATCTTCTGTGGATGCTGAGTTAACTATCCTGGAGAGTTCTTCCCGGTGGGCTGTGCTACCCGGGTTGCACACCAAAGCTTGGACTCTGTGCCTATGATTAAGACTGTTTCGTGTATCTCACTCATTTTCTAGACAAACTGGGCAGCTTCCTCATGCCAGTAGCATCAGTGTGTCCTGTTTCCGGGTGTTTAAGGATTTGACCCAAACAGGACCATAAGATACAGTGAAGGTTTATTTACAGCGCATTTGTTTCTTTTCTATCTTCTTCGGAGCTGAGTATGCAGGTAACTGGGGGGAAGATGCGCCAGCATCTCTGCTGTTGTGATTTTTCTGTTTGGTTCAGTCTACTACAGGCTGTCCTGAACTAGGAGGATGGAATTCGTTCCTAACGTACTAACAACTGCTCGGGTTCGGGTCGAACATGAGTCAAAGGGAAGCACTGACTAGAGCCGATTTCCACGCTGGACATTCGGTCACTCCCGGCGTAGGGGTGCCTGGTAAGATTCCTCTAGGACACGTCTACACATCTGCTCCTTACGAGAAGTGTGTGTCTCCGTCTAATCTTGCATCAGCGGGCGAACTCCGGGCGCGACAGAGGACCCTGCGCTGCCTCGGACGTGGAGAGTTTACGCCGGCGCGCCCTGGTCAGCCTTCGCAGGCGGGTCCACACCTCTAGCCAGGGCCTCGGGGCAGCCTGCGCTCGGCTTTCCGCTTCTCAGCAC